GAAAGCCTTGTGCAGGTTCCCTGTTGCTGCTGTGGCTGTGGATACAACCCAGTGGCAACAGGGTTCCACATGGCAGACGTCCCTGTAGTTTCCCTGCCCCTGCCCCAACCACCCTTCCTGGCACAGGCTAGTTTCCCCAGGGTAGCTATTTTCCCCAGGGTTGCCAACCTCTAGGTGAGGCCTGGAGATCTCAAAAAATTACAACCAATCTCCAAATTATAGAGATTAGTTCCCCTGGAGAAATTGACAGCTTTGGAAGCTGAACTCGATGACACTCTGTCCCACTGAGGTTCCTCCCCTCCCCCGGTTCCACACGCAGATCTTCAGGAATACCTGAAATTGGAATTCTACTCCCCCTGGCTTTTCCAGTTTTTTTTTTTAATAGGCATTTTAATATAATCATAACGATATAGCAACTTGTATATCTTGTTTAGGGTTGCCAGGTCTGAGTTGGGAAATACCTGGACATTTTGGGGGTGGAGCCCGGGGAGGGTGGGGTATGGTGAGGCGAGAGACTTCAGCAGGGTATAATGCTATAGAGCCCACCCTCCAAAGCAGCCATTTGCTGCAGGCGAACTCACCTTGGTCATCTGAAGAACAATAGTAATAGCTGGAGATCTCCAAGTGCCACAGGGAGGCTGTCAACCCTACGCTTGTTCTGTAAATTCCAAGCTTTCATTTTTTAAAAAAAGTCTATAGCCCCTTTTGTTGTGGAGATCTACTTTTCTCCTTTTATATCTTTGCAGCAAAAGAGGCTAGAGACTTACTTTAAAAAAAAAGAAAGCTGGGAATTTAGAGAACCTGATACACAGATAGTTATAATACCAATATAACAATATTCAGTTGCCAATTAAAAAACCAAAACCAAAATGCCCCTTTGTGGGAGGAGAAAGAAATGGTGGCCATGGGGTAAAATGGCTGCTGTGTGGGCATGACTTCCCCATGCACACGGTTGCTATTCAGGCTTTGCTGCAATCTCTCTCAAAATTTCACAGCAAAGCAGGTTTAGAAAAGATTGGAGGAAAGCTGAGGAAGCCCCTGAGATGCTCATGAATTCACCACAATGCAGTGGAGGAGCAGGGAAAACCCCACTTCCCGACTGAATCAAATTTAGGGCAAGTAAACTATTTAGAAATGTCCAGAGAGTATATTGGGTCCATACTATTGAGTAATACAGTAGGTATTTAGTGCTACCAATGGGTTGGATCTAACCAGCTGTTCCACTGCTGAAAAAAGAAGGATGACCACCAAAAACAGTAATGCTGGGGATCATGGGACCAACATGGACAAAACCATGTGGGTTCTGGGCAGCAGGATCGTAGCAAGAAGCAAAATTAGGTGAGATGGAATGAAAAAAAAAACCTGACAGAATCAATGCTCCCTCTAAGGTGTAGAGTCTTGTGAGCAAAAATTCTACTTTGTGAGCTACTGGCATTAAAGTTGTGAGCGGGTAATCTGGCTACTGCATAAATTAGTTTGCTCTGGAGCCATCCTTCCTGAGCGAAGACAAAAATGTGTGAGATGGAGGCTAAAAAACTGTGAGCTAGCTCGCACTAGCTCAGCTTAGAGGAAACATTGGGCAGGATCCAACTCACTGTCAAAGACAGGATAGTAGTCTAATTCACAATTGGTCTAAGCCTACTCTTGTATAAAAATAACTCTTAAAGGAGTTTTAAAAAACCTCTTGAGGGAACCAATCAGAGTGCATTTTTAGCCACACAGGAGGCACATAAATTCACAGCTCACTGAAGGCCAAACGACACAATACTCTTTTTAATAGGTTGGTTCCATGTTCCCAGATCCAGTTCACTTTCCCCACAGGAGCTGTGGCACACAGCCATTTTCCCAAGCTGAGCTAACCCCACACTCACCTGGTCTATTTCAGCTTGGGAAAATGGCATGGGGAAAGGCAGGCATCTCTCCTCCCCATATGCTGTAGTAGTCCTGAGTCAAATTAGGTCCTCACAGACTTTAAAAGCTGTTTACCTCAGCTGCTGTATGGAAAATTACTTCCCCTGACCGGACTGGTTGCAAATCGTTGTCACATAGTTTGGCCCTTAAGTTTCCTACAGTAATTTAGTTCCCACCCCCCAACTGATTTATGGTATATTTCAAATAACATCTATCTAAAGATATTTTAAATGAGCAGGAAAGAAATAACTGGAGCAACCAAAAACTGCTGTTTGAAAGCAAGGTGATAAATCAGTGGGAGATTCAAATCCAGAGGCAGCCATGGCAACTTGGAGTAAACAGGATATGGGTTGCTAGGCTATGCGGAAGGTGACGGTTTCCCTGGCACAAATGCTGCTGTAGCTTACATGAATTGTTTGGCTGAAGAAGCATCTTATTAACATCCAGTACTGGATGGTCCATGTTAGCTGTGAGCCTGGAAGTCCTTTGCTCTAATGTTGTCTGTGGCTCAGACTTGCTAGGTAGCCTTAAGCAAGCCGCTTGCTCTCAATTGACCTACCTTGTTGTAAGGATGTTTTAGGGTTCCTGAGATATGTAGTGCACACTGAGAGCTCTAAAATGCTATGTATGAAAAACCAGTGAGTTTCTGGCTCCAATTCTGTTGCCTTTAAATTTCCAAAGGATTTGGCTCCAGCTATCGGAAGAAGCGCCCTCTCTCCCATATTCCCTCCCATGCCATAACAAGAGAAAGCCTGCCTTCTGTGATGCTGCAGATGCCAATCAGAAGGCCGCCTCCAGTGCAGCGCCACTAGTCTGAATGCTTTGCCAGGAGAGCCTGAGTTGCTCGTCTTCTCCTTTCCTGTATTCAAGGGACTGACAAGGAGTTTCCTTGTGATGACCTGATTGCTTGACTGAAGACAACTATTTCTATGTTTTATACTGTTGTTTTACCTTAAGAACACCAGTCCCCTGTAGGATCAGAAAAAAAAATACAAAAAATTATAAAGGATCCAGCAATTAGAGTGGCACAAGATACAAAAAGACAGATATTGCTGTGTATGTTCATCAAATTTTCAATTTTCCAAGTTGTATTTTGTTTTTCAGATACATCAAACAACTCAATAAGAACAAAGTCTTCAGAAGAGAAGAAGAAGAAGGACGGACCTTCCCGGGCTTTCTGTAGTCCGTTTCGAACAATATCTTTCTCAGATGTCAATTCATGTTGTCTATAGTGTTCTTACAATTCCAATCTTGACTGTATATGTGGTGTTTACAAAAGTTCAGAAACAGCTGCTCATAGCTCTATTGTCTATGAGCAGCTGTTTCTGAACTTTTGTAAACACCACATATACAGTCAAGATTGGAATTGTAAGAACACTATAGACAACATGAATTGACATCTGAGAAAGATATTGTTCGAAACGGACTACAGAAAGCCCGGGAAGGTCCGTCCTTCTTCTTCTTCTCTTCTGAAGACTTTGTTCTTATTGAGTTGTTTGATGTATCTGAAAAACAAAATACAACTTGGAAAATTGAAAATTTGTCTTTTTGTACCCTGTAGGATCAGACCAGTGGTCCATCTAGTCCAGCACCCTGCATTACACAGCAGCCAACCAATTGACCAGAGGCCAGGTCTCCTTGGTGTTGCTTCCTAGTACCGGTATTCAGAGGTTTAGTGCCTCTGAATGTGAACGTTCACCTTGGTCATCATGACCAAGTAGCCACTCATGAGGGACCTATCCTCCAGGAACCTGTTTAAAACCATCCATCCTCATGGCATGTAACTATTTACCTGTAAGGTCAAGAAGTAATTCCTTTTAACTATCCTGGATCCATTGCCCATCAACTTAATGGGTATCCCCCCATCCTACTATTACAGCAGAGAGATCTACTTTCTTCATTGCATGCATAAATTTATAAATATCTATTATTTCCCCCCTGTTGTCTTTTTTCTAAACTGAAAGGCTCCAGACCCTTTAGCCTCTCCTCATAGGAAAGGTGCTACAACCTTCTAATCACATTGTGACTTTGTGTTACTATTTTGTATACGTTGTATTCTTTCCTTTAGTACGCCACTTGGAGGGGGTGCCTTTCCGTTGGAGTTTGCAAGTTCATCTTTCAGTCATGAAAAAGTTAGCCTGTTTATGTATGCATGCCAATATTAGCTATTTGGCTTAGGGACCAGTTAGCCCTTACATACTTCTTTCTGCCAGAGATAAGGTGACAATATTCTTAATGAAGAGAGCCTTAGAACTTCTAAGTTAGTGGTGTGGGAGTTTTATTGGGGGGCTATGTGTGTTTGGTCACGCACACAAGTAAAGATGGGAAACTTTATCCCCTTTGTTCTCTTTCACATGAGTTTTAGGATCCAACTAGCCAACATGGACTTTGGAACTAGTTAGATAGGATGTTTGTTATTTTACTTCCTAATGCAACCCTTTTTCTCCTTTATATAGTAAACTCTTTTTCTTAAACTAATTAAGTATTAGAGTATTAGTTTAAGAAAAAAGAGTTTACTATATAAAGGAGGAAAAGGGTTACATTTGGAAGTAAAATAACAAACATCCTATCTAACTAGTTCTAAGGTCCATGTTGACTAGTTGGATGCCAAAAAACTCGTGTGAAAGGAAATAAAGTTTCCCAACTTTCTTAAAGGTCAGGAAACAAGGTATATATTTTAATAATACTCTCGGGCTCCTGCTTAAAGGAACACGTCCCCAGGCGCCCTTCAGTAGGAATCGCCAGCATGTATCGTTTCCCTCCCTCCCCCTGTTGTGGCTGCTGTCGCAAGGAGACCAGACTGCGGGTGGCCGAGTGTGTGTGATACGTGTCTAGCCACAGCGTGCCCCATGGCTGCGCCACCTGCCACAAGCTCTTCCGGCTTCCTCTCTTCTCATAAATAAGCGCACCAAGAGCCGGCTGCTTGTCGACGGCCTCAGCAGGAGCCAATCAGCGCGCGGCACGGCGGCCTGCCCGGCATGTGCTCTTGTTTGCGTACGTGCGGAGCAGGCGGCTCCCGACAGAGAGGGCGGGGTCCCAGCCAGGGTGGCTCTTCTTCATCTGGCTCGTGCAAGATGCAGTGGCGGTAGAGAGGCAGTGCTGAAAACTTCCATCCCACCACGACTTTTCCCTCGGTGAAAACCAGGAGGATGCTGTTACTGTTAGATGGCCACGCAGAGGTAAGTCTTGGGGCGCTTTTAACGTGGGCGTTCTGGAGGTTGAATTGGAGGTGCTAGCAAAAGTTCTTGCACTACTGCTTAAGCGCTTGTGATCGATGAGAGAAATAACAAAATTCAGGTAGGTCGCCGTGTTGGGATCTGAAGAAGCGCGGATAAAACTTTGTTGGTCTTAAGGGTGCCACTGGACTCGAACTTTAAGTAGTTAAATTGTTATCTTGTAGCAAACTGCTGGTCGTTTCCTTTAAGATTGTGCCTTGTTACTGCTCGGGGACCTTGCAGTGCTCCCTCTAAGCTGTGGAGTCTTGTGAGGAAACATTCTGCTTTGTGAGTTACTGGCATTAAAGTTGCGAGGGAGCGATTTGGCTGCTGCATAAATTAGTGTGCTCTGGAATCGTCTTTCCTGAGCGAAGACAAAAAATGTGTGAGCCGGAGACTAAAAAAACTGTGAGCTAGCTCACACTAACTCAGCTTAGAGGGAACACTGGGACCTTGGTTCCCGTTAGTGTGGTTGCGGTGAATCAAGCTTTAGGTACAAGCTGTACATTGCAATTGAATAAAACGTTGGTCTTAAAGGTGCCACTGGACGCAGTCTTTGTTCTGCTGCTTCAGACCAACGCGGCTGCACACCTGAACCTATTTCAATTGTTTCTCCACCTTCCTTCCAGTCGGAGAGCCTGAGCCACCTGCTCCAAGCAGGGACTGAAGTGAACATACCTGCCGATGCTCTGGGCCAGGACCCGGCTCACCTGGCTGCTCATGGAGGACAGGCTTTCTTACTGCTTTGGCAACTGCAGACAGGAGCCAATTTGAACCAACAGGTACAAGTCATGCTTTCTGTTTCTTGAGCAGTCTAACTCTAGCGAGGCTACCTTGTCTTTTATGGAGTGGAAGGATTTATATATATCTTTTATGGATTGGAAGGATTTATATATATATATATATATACTTGTATATCAACTGGCTACTGAGGTGGAATAGATCACCATTGGCTGGCACTGCAAATGAGATAGGTAAATGCAAAGGTAGGTCTGCTGTTGTAGGTTTTACAAGCTCTGCTCCCTTTGTGCTGAATAGGTAGAACTTTGGATTCTCATTTACTAGTTAACAAAGAGGACAGCAAGTGGCAGTGTTTTGTTATAGGAACTGACTGGTTTGCTAGTCACATGGAAGGCAACAAGCCCAAATTATTCAGGTTCTTAGGGAGTGGGTTTTCACTCACAATAGAGGAAGGCCAGGAAAAATGCTTAAAATCTCACTTTTCAGTCTATCCAGATGACTTTTCATGAATGCATGGGTTCCCCTGTTTAATTGTAAGAAGCAGCTAGTTTTGTAATTGTAAGAAGAGCCAGTTTGGTGTAGTGGTTAAGTGTGTGGACTAATCTGGGAGAACCGGGTTTGATTCCCCACTCCTCTACTTGCAGCTGCTGGATGACCCTGGGCAAGCCATAGTTCTGACAAGAGCTGCTTGAAACGGCAGTTCTTGAAAGAGCTCTCTCAGCCCCACCTACCTCACAGGGTGTCTTTTTTTGGGGGGAGTTTGTAAGCCGCTCTGAGACTCCGAGTGAAGAAAGGGAAAGGTTCCCTTGCTCGAAAGCCAGTTGAATCCGACTCTAGGGTTGCAGTGCTTATCTCCGTTTCAAAGCCAAAGAGCCAGCGCTGTCTGAAGACGTTTCCGTGGTCATGTGGCCGTCATGACTAAACACCAAGGTGTTCGGAACGCTGTTACCTTCCCACGGAAGTGTTACCTATTTATCTACTTGCAATTTCTTGCTTTCGAACTGCTAGGTTCTGAGTGACTGAGATTACAAAATGCAACATCTTTGTTTAGGATTGGCTTGGGGAAGCACCCATTCACAAAGCCGCTAAAGTTGGGAGTTTGGAGTGTCTCACTTTACTTGTTGCCAGTCATGCCACCATCGAGTAAGTACCCCTTCTGCCATACTGATCACTTGTTGTTGTTGTTCAGTCGCACAGTCAAGTCCGACTCTTCGCAACCCCATGGACCAGATCAGTACTGATCACTAGCAGAAAATTTATCCAAGCAACATTGTAGTTTACACTGTAAAACTGTAAAACTGTGATTGAAGTATGTTTCAACATAGGCTTACCAAGTGGCGGCAGGGGATCCGCCGCGGGGACAGCGATATGTGTTGCACCGCCGTCGCCAGGATGTGACACAATGCGTCGCTCTGGCAATGGGGCTGTTTGGAGTCCCGTTGCCAGAGCGACACGTAGTGTCACATCCTGGCGACGGCGGGTGCAACGCGTGTCGCAGTCCCCGCGGCAGGGATCCTGTGAAAACATGCGGATCCCCCGCCGCCACTTGGTAAGCCTATTTCAACAAAATATGTGGTTATCTCAGTTCCCTCTAATACATATACAACTTTGAACTTCAGTTTACTTTACAAAAAGATCACTCACAAACTGGTAAAAGGAACTTCCAGATTGTTTTGGTTTTAAAAAAAAAAAAGGAACTTCAGACCTTGATTCAATTAAAACAAATGACTTTTACGCTTCCCAATGGGACTTGGAGGTGTCTGATTTGCCTCATTGATTTCAACATGATTTAGGCATGACTAATTGGATCACAGTGATGTAACCTGATCCTTCTCAGCCTTTGATATCAGGGAGCTGGCTGCCCACCCTTGTTGAGTGATGTAACTTGATCCTGTTGCATTCAATACTATTTGCTCCCAAATGAGTGCACACAGTACTGCAAAGTTTGAGTCCAGTGGCACCTTTAACACCAACAAGGTTTTATTCAAGCTATAAGCTTTTGTGTGCGAGCACACGTCTTCAGATAGTGAAACAGAAATCGGCTTCACTGTATCCTGAAGAACTGTGCTTGCACATGAAAGCTCATGCCTTGAATAAAACTCTGATCTTAAAGGTGCCACTGGACTCAAACTTTGTTCTACTGCTTCAGATGAACACGGCTACCCACCTGGCACAGTACTGCAGTTTTTGTTTACGTACATTGCTCGACTTAACATCAGCAGTCAAATGTATTGTGTTGTCTTCATTTTGTATCCTAGCTTGCGCAATAAGAAGGGACAGACTGCGGAAGACCTGGCCCTGGCTTTTGGATTTTGGGAATGTGCTCAGTTCCTCAAGACAGTGAAAGAGACTCAGAATAGGAAAGCCATCAAACAAGTTCGGGATTCCCTCAGTAACAAGAATGGCTTGCTGAGGGAGGCAACGACAAAACAAAAACGAGCAAGTGAAAGCAGAAGACCCATAAGCAAGAAGACAATGAGATCAAATGGTACGGTGTTTAGCCAGATGCTTTAAAAAGACATCTACTCCAAACTGCAGCTCCCAGTCAGAGGCTACTTCGGCATGCAGAAAGTGTGTCGATTAACCTTTCCCTGTTTCGTGTTCTATTGGGGTATAGATCAATGAAAGTTGCTATTTCTAGAAATATTTCTAGCCTACTCAAAAGCCATTCACAATAGAATGTCCTTTTTTTGTATTTGTGTGTGTGTGTGTATGTATGCCTAGAAGTCATGGTTGACTTCTGGCGACTCCTAGTGGGGCTTGGACATTTCAGAGAGGTGGCTTGCTATTGCCCATCTCTGGGTCCTGGCCCTGCTACTCCTTGGAGGTCTCCTATCCAAGTATTTTGCAGGGTCGGCCTTGCTTAGCTTCCAAGATTGGGCTTGCCTGGGCTATCCAGGTCAGGGCAGTAGAAGTGCTTCTTGTTGGTGCTGTTGGTTGTCATCTAGTATCACCACCCTTGCTCCTTAAATACAACATACATTAAGCACTGCCCTCTCCAATCACCTTTCAAGGGTACCTAAGGCATACAGTTGTAGAATACAGTGCTTTTGAGAACAGTCAGGACACCTAAGAGTTAAGGAATAGGGCTTCTTCCAGGACATACCAAGGTTCTCATGCATCTTCCTAAGCCAAAGCACCTCTTATTAATGTCAGCCTTTGCTGCCGCCTTCCATGATAACATTTTGAGAACACGGAGCAAGACATTGTTTTGAAAATGTATAGCAACACTGTTTGTTAAACCAGATGCAAATACACTGTACCTGATTGTATCCCACTCACTTTCATTGGGTTGATATGTTCCACTAACAACTGTCATATTAATTTGCTGCCAAATGAATAGAGGAAGGAAGACCACCTCACTGAAAAGTGATTTCCCCTTCTGTGATGTGCCATACAGCAATAGGGATTTATGTGCTGGTTAAATTACTGGATGGGAGAATTCCAGGGTCATTGTGCGGAGGAAGGCAATGGTAAACCTCTTTCATTAGTCTCTTGCCATGAAAACCCTATAGGGTCATCAAAAGTTGGCTGCCACTTGATGGCACTTTTACACGCACACACAATGTTAAGTCAGTCATCCTGTGCATTGGAGGAAAAAAATAAACGCTTTATCTGCATTTAAACAGATGCAACGTTTCTGATGTCATGTGAAAGTACATGAAGAGAAATGTGAAGGACCCTCCAGAAAAACACCGGCCATGGACTAATGTTGCTCAAAACCAACTATTTTCAACAATTCCTTCTGAGAAGGAGAGTGGTTTGCTTCTTGAAGAAGATACCTTTTAAAGCATTCCTGTATTTATGCACTAATAAACTTGCATAAACAGTGCCTTGTCTTTTCTGCCATCATCTTTACACATAAGTGTGTCATATTTAACACTAACTGCAACTGTCACTCATCCCACTAAGAATGCTGCATGCAGTTGTGCATAACACATGCATGGGGAAGGCAGAGGGAATGGGATGGTGTTTTTAAAAAGAAGATATTGCTAGTTAAAACTACTATGCAAAGCCACAAGATTCTACTTTACTTCTGTACAGCACTGGGTCCGACAGATACTTTTAACCAGTATTCAGGATACAATGATGTTTATCTTGAAGATCAATGTACATGCTGATCTGAACATGTGTATCTGCCTACAAAGGTAATGGGACCTCACTGCAACTGTAAGACTACCCCAGAGGTATCGAACTCATTTGGTACGAGGGCTAGATCAGACATAAATGTCACCTTGTTGGGCTGGGCCATGTGTGCCATAAAATGGAATTCCAGGTACCAGAGATATATCCTTTATAAATGATACAGCGTAAACCCAATTAATATTTTTTGCTCCAAATACAAACAAAAGCAATTGATTCCTAGGAGCAAAAGCAATAGATTTACTGGGGAACCCACAAAAGCCCCAATAAATGTTTTTAATCATATGCAAGCCTAATTTTTCCAAGGGATACCATAAAAGGTTTATCTTTTCCATACAAACTAATTACTTTTTGTTTATGTAGCACTTTTAGGAGTCATTGTCCTTGCAAGTAAGGAAGGTAGTTTTCCTGCACACCCCCTTCATATGCCCAGCCTCAGCAGCTGAGCACAGCTACAATCTGTCTCTCACGCTTTGTTTTCTCTCTTCCCCGATCTCAAGGAGTCATACCGGACTTCCCTCTCCACTGCCCCATCCCTACCAACAAAACCGTGTGAGGCGGGCCAGGCTGAGCGACCAGTCCCGGATGACCCGTACAATAGGTTCCTGGCTCAGGAGGGGGGAGTCTGAACCTGGCTCTCCCAGATCCCCCCGCCCCCAGTTCTCATCCCTCCTGAATTTCCCACTGAAGCAGGGCTGAGGGAAAGGCCTGACGGAGAGGCTGTTTCTGAAACCTCCAAGGGGTACTTTTTGCCCTCCGCAACCCCTTTTCCTTCATGGGCTGAGAACAGGTGCATGGGAGAAGGAAGGTTGCCACACACACACACCCGGCACTCACTCTGTCTCCCAGTTCCATGTGTCCCTTCACTCCCTTCCAAGGCGCGATGTCTTTACCATTAGAGCGGCAGACACAAGACAGCGCAGTTACCTCCAATGCTCCCTCTAAGCTGTGTTGTGTGAGCTACTGGCATTAAAGTTGTGAGCGAGCAATTTGGCTACTGCATAAATTAGTTTGCTCTGGAAGAAGAAGAGGAGATTGGATTTATACCCCGCCCTTTCAGAGCGGCTTACAAACTCCTTTCCCTTCCCCTCCCCACAACAGACACCCTGTGAGGTGGGTGGGGCTGAGAGAACTCTGACACAAACTGCTCTTTTTCAAGGACAGCTGTGCCAGAGCTTGTGACTGACCCAAGGTCACATCAGCAGGTGCAAGTGGAGGAGTGGGGAATCAAACCCGGTTCTCCCAGATTAGAGTCCACACACTTAACCACTACACCAAACTGGCTCTAGTATTACCATTCCTCCTGAGCCAAAATGAAAATCTGTGATCTGGAGGCTAAAAAACTGAGCTAGCTTACATTAACTCAGCTTAGAGGGAACACTGGTTAGTTCCCAATCCTCACTAAGTTGCAGTTGGAGGAGGCAGGAAGGGAGAAAACACCACACACCTTTCTCCACACGTTATTTTACCTCAGCCTCATAGTCCGGGCCCCTAGCAATTTCCTTTCTATTTCTTGACAGCTCTGACCACACACACATCACCACATGTGCCTACTCCCCCACTCCTCCCCAGCAGCCTCCTGCCTGCCCTCCCTCACACCAGTTGCTCGTGGGCCACATAAGAGCCTTGGACGGGCCAGTTCTGGTCCTTGGGTCATGTTTGACTATCCTGTGTTGTCACAGCCTGCACTGCCACTACTGTTCTAATGCTGCACATCTTAGGGCCAGACGATAAAAGCAGATGAAACAACTATTCGAACACGGCAATGTTTAATACTTATTTTATTTAAAAGATCACCATATTCTTAATTTACACTCTAAAAATAGTGGAATTAACATTTGTATACGACTGGGACTCTCAGCAATACGGTAATATTTGAAGTGAAAATATGTAATCATTTCTTATAAGTGTGTACACATTTTTCTAGCTACAACAGCTCATTTTCTATGATCTCCAAAATATATGTTCAGATAGTTTTTGGACGCTGAGGTAGACACAGGTTATAATAAGCATCTTTGCTCCAGAAATCTGGTCCCTTCCATCCACACCAACCCTGCATAATAGGAGAAAGAAAAGCACTGTCAGACATACCTGCTATAAAGGTGATACCTGGCATTTTGACCAAGCTGATACTATATTAACAAATTTCGTTTTGGTCTAGGAGCCAGCCCCAAAATTTAGACGCCAGACTCATTTTGCAGCCTTCAGTTTTGTATTTTAAAGACCATGTTTTCTAATTATTGCATAGGATCTACTTGTACACAATTTCTTGTAATTTTTATTCAAGTCATAATATGACAAAAGTGTTGTGGTATATGAATCGGGGTAACCCTGGCTGTCATCATAATAAAATCACTGCTGAAAATACTAGGTGCCACAATGAGATTTCTAGGCAACACCATGACCTGGTGCCTGGGATTTGTCAAACCCTGCATCAACATCAAAAGCCTGAATACATTATGTGATTTACAGACTGGCTCCTTTGTTTACTTCTCACATAAATGTTTATTTTCTACAACATACCTAAGCACGACAAACATAACAAACATCCACTCTAACATAAAATTGGGGGTACATTATAAGTATACATAGTTTGTAGCCATCTATATATCATTTCACACTTATACCTTACAATGGATATTAATTTTATAAACGCTTTCGCAACTATTTGTAAGTACAATCTGTAAAAAACCCACAACTGCTCAACCAGTTTCAATATCTATTATGACTTTTAGAGGTATCAAAAATATCCTTTTTAATGAAATAAAAAGTTATGTCCAATATGTGTCTGTCCAATATATGTCTGAATTTTATAGTGCACATTGGCTTTCATTCTCCCAACTATCGCAGTATATGAAAATTTCATAGAGGAACAAGAGAAATTAACCTATACCAGAAATTAACCTATACCATGGATCAATGTAGCAGAAAGATTGTAACAGATTGTAATACACTTGTAGATCAATATTTGTCCACCACTGCTTCAGGTAGTAAATAAATCAACCATTCTGAGTAGAATCAGGAAACTTATCTTGGCCTAAAGTCCCACCCTTCACAAATACTCCACCTTCATATTGCAAAAGGTTCCACAGATACAGCTTCAGATCAAACATTTCCTACAGCTTACACTTGATCAGACAAATTTAGAGTCCGGTGGCACCTTTAAGACCAACAAAGTTTTATTCAAGGTATGAGCTTTCGTGTGCATGCACGCTTTTTCAAATACATTGGAATTTCATGTGCATGCAAACGAAAGCTCATACCTTGAATAAAACTTTGTTGGTCTTAAAGGTGCCACTGGACTCTAAATTTGTTCTATTATTTCAGACCAACATGGCTGACCACCTGGATCTAACTTGATCGGACAGTGGTGCACAATGCAAAAGAAAACATGTTGAAGTCCATCAGTAAAATTAACAGGAACAGTCAGTCAGTCCCAAAACATAGGCATTCAACAGTTTTGTTTGCACGGATGTATCTGTCTTGTTATCTCTGTTTGTCTCAAAAGAAACTGTCACACAGGAAGATGCTCGCCAGGACAGTGTCTACATGGTGACAGCCTTCACTGGGAGAAGAAATGGGAGAAGAAACTGGGAGAAGAAATGCCTTCTCTCAGCCTCTGAATGCATGTTTTTCACATGGTGAAATGGTAGCTTTGAAGGAAAGTCCACAAAAGGAAAAAGAACGAATTGTTCATATCTCAGCGCTCCTGAAGGAGTAATCCCCGATGAAGCACCTCTGAGCCTATCAACAGTCAGTAGCGCTGTTCCATCCATTGTCAGAAACCTAATCTCCCCAACACAGCTGTTCAAGGCCAAAAACGTAGTTAAAATGGCTACTGATGTGCAAGATACTAATATAGAAGGAACAAGGTTGTAAATTACACAAGCATGCTGAAACCTTCACTCCAGCTGAGTTAGTTCCTGTGCTAAAGCAGAAAATTGAACTTGATGAGGCAGAATGAAGACAGACTGACAAGCAAAAACTTCCTTCGCCTCAGTGATATGGGGTGAATTTCTATGAATTCCATGGCAGACTTCTCTTGCTTGGAATCAAATGAGATTTGTACCCAAAACTGTAAAATTATTTTCTAGATATAACAAAGAACTTGCATTTAAAAAAAAAACCAAGTTCACCATGTTCAGTTCTGAAGAATGTAACCAGGGTCTTAATTTGGAGCTTCACAAGAAAACAATCATACTAAGGCTAATACTTTATAGGGAAACTGAGGCTATCGTACTCTGTTTGCATTACGAGAAGACAAGAGTTACTGGAAAAGACAATAAAGCTAGGAAAAGCTGAAGGCAGCAGGAAAAGAGGAAGACCCAACGTGAGATGGATGGACTCAGTCGAGGAAGCCATGGGGATGGGCCTCAGTTTGCAAGACCTGAGCAAGGCTGTTAATGACAGGCCATTTTGGAGAATATTTTCATAAGGTTGCCACTTGATGGCACTTCACACGCACACAAGCGCACACACTCACTCTTTTTATGGCAACAAAGCCATACTACTGAGAAGCAATAATAACCACATCATCTGGTGCAAACAATTTACCAAC